ATGTATCACTATACGCACTATACGTATCACTATACGTATAGTACTATACGTATAGTACTGATCTGCCCATCTCTAGGCAAGAACAACAAAAATAAAAATTAGGTGAAACAACAAGAATCAGCTTATGGAAAACAATTGGTCTTTGATTTCACTTTAGAAGCATTTGAAGTGTATATTAAGAAGACAACTATTATCCTCATTTTCGTAATAAAAACAAAACTTAATGAAGGGATCAAAGATGAAGGTAGATGTGAAATTGAAATCTATACTTGGAATACTGTTCGGCTAATTTGAATTTCATAAATGGTGACAGTAAAATTATTGAGACAACAAGCACATTTCTTGTAAAAGCAAACCAAACCAAACCACAAAATGCGATTGAATTATTCAATTCTGTCCAGAAAGTTGTGTGTAGAACCAGGAAACAGAAGCAATTGTTTGAAAATCAAAAAGTTTTATCCAAGGATTTGAATAAATGACTATTATTATACCCTCTGCATGAAGGACAAAATAAATCAAAGCACAAACAAATGGATAGGATAAAAAATTTGAATTCTGTTTTTTTTCTAAAATTGTTTTGGTGGGAACATAAAATAAAACAAATGTTCAATCACATGTTACAATTAAAATCTTTATAGAATAAGACAGAAACTGGCTTTCTTTTTAACTAGTGTTTATTATCAGTAAATATTTAATTAAATTAATAATGACAAATATATAAGAGATATAATAAATATTTATGAATAAAATAATTAAATTAATCATTATTAACAATGAAAATGTAATGATATTTAATTTTTACCAATTATTTGAAATACTTCTAAATAATCATATTTACTTTTATGTACTAAATTGATGTTATTATAAGTTGTTGGTTCACTGTAAATACTAACATTTGTGTAAAAACAAAGATCATAACCATACCTTCCAAAACCAGGTAAATAAGAAGAACCACATGGAATTGCATGTTCATAATCATTATTAATAACATAACTAAATTGTGCAGTATTAATATCATTTCTATTGCTAATATTAAAAATAAAACTTTCAGTTGTACTCATCTGTATACTGCCTTTAGGTGCATTCCAATTTAGTGGATTATATCCACCAAATATTTGATCAGAATTTTGTATTTTAGCAACTACAAGAGTTTTATTA